TTTAGCCTGAGACACAGGACTGACTCAAAAAAAAAAAATTAATCTGCTCCAACTTTTTCTGTTCTTAGGGAGGAGCCTGTTTTGTGCTGTGCTCTTTTAGCCACTTTACCTGCTTTGTGTTTCTACAGTGACCAAGAGCGAAGGGAAAATATTAGATCATGTCGGAGTTCTGGCTAATTTCTGCCCCAGGAGACAAAACGAATCTGCAGGCATGGGAGAGGATGAACACGGTGACATCGAAATCCAACCTGTCTATCAACAGCAAATTCCATATTCCAGACTTAAAGGTAAACAAGGAAAGGGTTTGGGTGAGAGTGATACAGCAGCATTAGCCAGGACTAAAGGCTTTTGGGATAAATGTGGGATTTATCTTCTGGGATAATATGCAGAGAGCAGAAGATTGCAGTCAGGGAATGAATTGTGTTAAGCCAACTGAAAATTGATCAGAGAGAAAAGAAGTCATTGTGCTTGAAGCCGACCTTTGCATTGGAACGATAATGTGTATAAGGAGTGAAGACGACCAGTTAAATAACTAACTTATTGTATTTGATGTGGTTTGCTCCCAGTTGTGGAAGTTGTACAGCTTTTGCATCTTGGAGCGCTAATGCAAAGGGAGTAGCTGAGTATCTCGAACCGTGCCAGTGAGACTGCTGACAGGGAAACCAGTGCTTTAATGCGCATTACTCCTTGGGAAATGGATGTATGTCTATGTTCAGCTACATTACCCAGCTTCATATCGCCATATAAATAGGAAGAGTATTAATCCACAGGGTTTTTTTGTATATTTCCATTACTTAATCCTTATTTTATAAGATCTGCACCTTATTTTTATTTCACTTGTGGATATGAAAAATACAAATATGCTTTATTAAAGTCAATGGAGATACCACAGATGTAGAACTTCGTTCCTTAGGGAGTTGCCATCACCCATCACTTAACAAAGCTACAATAAGTGCATCCAGGATCTGGCGTTAATCCAAAAAGATTGTTAACAGTTATAACTTGAGCTATCCCAATTGCATAAGGATGCAAGTAGAATGGGAGCATGGCCTGTTCTCAAGTAATAACCTGCTGAATTTTCACATGAATGTTTCAGACTGGGAATATTGCTTTTTGCCTGTGCACCTGAGATTGCTGGATTTTACCACCTAATGGGCCTTACCCAGCTGGTGTTGGTGCGAATCTGTTAATGTCAAAGGAAATAAAGTGTTTGCAGTACCTGAAGATGCAACCAGACCATTAATTTTCTGATAATTATTCTATGTAAAATTTGTTTCTTCCCCTTCAGCTTGACCCTTCATAATGTTGAGCTGGCAACATTACAAGAAAAGGTTCAGCAATATATTACAATAGCACAAACATAAGATTATGACTGTTACAGAGAGTCATACAAAAAGCAGATGTTGGTCTTGGAGGAAATGGCTTTGTGAGAGGCTTAGTCTTTGGTAGTAGTGAAGAACACAGACAGAGACCCCCTTTTGAGTAAGTGTTGCTTCCCTTGGTTCTCTCAATACATCACGTTTGTTTGTGTGTATATTATGTGCATTTCTAGCCACTGTTTTATCATGTCAAAGACCAGTCTAGGCTACTTGATGATACAGGAATGAAAACAGGAAGGAAGACACTGACGTGTAATCTTGAGACTACACGTATGTTTTTTCCTTTATTGGAAAAGGCTTTTTATGCTCTAGTTCTTGAGTAAAGGAATTGCTGCTATTTTCCACTAAGGAAATAAAGTTCTGCCAACAGAAGCCTTAGATGGCCTTGTGCGTCTTTCACCTACTTCTCTTCTTCTTTTGCACAGGTGGGGACACTGGATGCTCTTGTTGGTCTGTCAGATGAGTTGGGAAAACTCGATTGCTCTGCTGAAAGGTAAAACAGATCGTACTTAACTACCTACAAATGAGAAACAGACATTGCTTTTATGGGACGGTATGTCCTTGTGTTCACCTAGGTCTGACTCATTTCAGCCTGAACTACAACTGGACTAAAGTGGATTGGCTTTTTTTAACCCTTGTGTTGATTGTCATGAAGTCATCACAAAGAAAGGACCATTCCTTTAAATTTGGATGAATTAAGTCAGTGATAATTTTGTCTGCACAGCAATCTGTTTGAGCAGCAGTGCTAGGGAAGCTGTTTCTCAAAGGGAAGCTGCTAAAAAAGATTCTTTTTTTTTTTTTTTGAAGGACATCTTTCTGCCCCATTCTGAAACTTAAATTAATAAAACGGCATTTGGAGAATATGAAGCCCTCTCTGATCTTGTTTTCCCAGAGTATTTGTCTTAAGCCTTCTGCTCCTTTTCAACCAGATAGAGGAGTTCTAAGGAATAAGTTCTTCTGAATGAATTCTCGAGCATGTCCAGACTTTTAAAGTCCTTGAAAATCAGAATATTGACTGACATTGTATCAAACCTGGTTATGCAAAAACTCACATGATCTCCTTGCTGATCATTACCCAGTTTGCCTTTTGGGCCAAACTAACTTGGGTGTACAAAGGATAATATAATAGAGCAAGCTGAGAAAATGCCAGGTCCTAAGATACTTCATGGCACAAAGTAGACTCTGTTGTTAAGGCAATGAAATTACAAGCTGCTGGTGGTTTTTTTTGTTTGATTGTGATTTTTTGGGAGCGGGTTTGGTTTTTTTTGGAACCATACCTCACATATAGCTGTGGTCTTGGTCACCAGAGGCACGTGTCAGCTCTAGAGCTTTTTGCCATTTTTTCCCCAGCCAGGACTGATAAGGATTTGCTTGTCTAAATATGCTTGATACTTTCATAGATTTTGTCTGGTGGTTGCAAATGGATACAGAAACACTGATGTAAGCTGTTTACATCTATGCTAGGCAGTTTGGGTAATACTAAGTCTGCTAGAATACCTTTCTCTGTTGGATTTTTTGGGGGGACTGTATTGGGATGATTACATTTGATCACTCTGGGTTGCACACAGTGTTGATCTTTTTAGAATGGCTTTTTCAGGATTTTTAGCAAGACACGGATATTTAATACTTAATTCACCAAGAAAACCTTCTCCATTGTGACCATCTCCATCCGGTGGGGAAAACTGCTCCAAATTCTTTGTAAACATGTTCAGACCTCCAGTTCATACTGCAGAGATTTTTCATGCTGGAATGAAGTGGTAACAGGGGCAAATCTGGGGAGAGACAGTGCCAATACCTGCTATCTCTTCTAATGGAAGGTGTCTCTACTCATGGCAGCAGATAGCCAAGCAACTGTGTGATCTGGGTTTGAGGGCTGCCAAAAATCGTGCAGAACTGATTTTCAGAAGGACTTTGCTGATTCCAAGCTTTGTGAAGAATTCGCACTTCTGAAAAGCCTGCTGCAGGATCCATGTGAGATCAGGGAGGGTCATTTTAAGAGAAATACCAGTACAAACTCCCTTCTGTCTCCTTCTGTTCCCTTTGTCTTAACTTGACAACATGCTACTGCTCCTTGTTCGAGCTGAATGTCACTTTCCTTCACTAATTGTCCCTTTAATGCCAGTATGACTCTTACAGTATGACGTGCTATAGGCACCGAGCAAAGAGGTTGTAAGCCACTGAGGTAAGAACTCTTCCTGTTTGCCTTGTTTGCCTCTCCAGCTAGGCAATCAAGAAGGATGAACATGATTTAGAAATAAGAAAAATATGTTAAAAAATAAGAAAAATGTGTTAGAGTAGAGTAATAGCAGAGAATAATCAACACAGATCAAGTCCCACAAGGACGTACACAAGCATTTTGCGTTAAATAAATGCCCAGGGTTTTGAGTCTAAATTGTAATTCAAGGGTTAAAATGCCAGGCACTCAGACTTTGTTGAAGTAAATGGCATCCAGAGGGTTACAAGCCTGTTCAAATGACCTGAGCATTTAGTTCCTGCTCCTCTAAAAGAGCTACCTGCTGAA